CATCATCCTAACCATACATGCAGACGTCTTCTTTCCTGTGTTACTGTGTTTGGTTCTGAAGATATGATGAAAAATCCATCGTTGGGTTGTATCAGAAAGTCAAATTGCAGCCATAAGGTGTTTTTGCGATCGCTCCATTTCTGAAAATGGCCAGGGTCCCCCAAGCCGTACAAAGGTAGCAATTTTCCTACTTTTATGAAAAAGTGAACCTCATTTTCACATATCACCGGGATAATGCACACGGGTTTGCTGAGTTCTGAACGATCCGAAGCTTTCTGAAGCTTTTTGTTTGGGTGGTTCAGCACAGAGAGTGAAATGAACACATCGTGCATCTTCTGATATTGTTGTCACGTAATAATAAGTTGTCCTGTTCACTGGCAGGACTTCAGAGAGTTCAAAAGCTCCTGACTTGCCTGTTTCCCTCCAGAGACGCTGATCGTAGGTGTGAAAACATTTCCTCTGTAGGTTTTTCAAGCTTCCTAAAAGTCCTGTCTCTATGAAGCTGTGTGATGTCGATGATGCACTTCACCACCTCGCTTAAACACGTATCAGTCTTTCTAATGTACAAAGAAAAAGCAAACATCATATCAGTTCCAGCAGATTTAAAACCAGTGAGGTGAATGTAGAATATCCTGTCAAGAGGAAAACCAGCTGAATACAGGACCTGCTCGACCGACTCAATCTTGAATTCTCTTGATTAAAACATCCGTATCAAAGGCAGCGACAAGATCAAGCAAAACTAAAATAGAAATTCTTTTTGAATCATTAATCCCTGCTCATTGGCTGCTCTGATAAGGGCTGCTTGGGTTCAGTGGGTAGATCTAAAACCTGACTGGAACAAATCATCAACACTGTGGCTCAAATCTCTGTTTGTTCCTATGCAACATTTTCCTTCTGAAAGTCGGTGAGGAGGAGGTGATAGCGTTCAGTGGGGATGAGAGAAAGGCAGACTGAGCTGTGATAGCAACCTCTAAAGGAGCTGAAGAGTTGAAAACATTCAAAGGAAAACTGGTCATGTAAACCACTGACATCCTGAGCTTATGCATTTCTTGTTATCAGAAA